ACCACTGCGCAGTATGGCCCAATAATTAGGTAATTCATGTGCTTCTACTCAGATTTATAAGGGGCCCATAACGTTAAACATGAATGAGCTTTTGTAGGAAGAGTTTGGTAAAATGATTCTTTCGACTTTAACGAGAAGCCACTGAGCTATATATCTATTGTAACTACAAGCAGTCTTTATTATCATGACTGGGACCTGACTGGTTGTACTTCAACACAGTGAAGGGGCTATTGTAACCACAACGGATCCATTAAAGTAACAAAATGGCGTAATATTCGGGTTTGAATTCTGGCAAGATTTTTCATCATTGCATGATATGTAGGAAGAATCGTTTTGGTACAAACTTTACAACGTTGCTCTCTGCTCTTTTCACTTCAGTTTTGTGCTTATATCTTCAATTTGTGAACTTTACAACGGTGCTCTCTGCTCTTTTCACTTCATCTCTGTGCTTATATCTTCAATTTGTGAACTTTACAACGGTGCTCTCTGCTCTTTTCAATTCAGTTTTGTGCTTATATCTTCAATTTGTGAACTTTACAACGGTGCTCTCTGCTCTTTTCACTTCATTTCTGTGCTTATATCTTCAATTTGTGAACTTTAGAAAGGTGCTCTCTGCTCTTTTCACTTCAGTTTTGTGCTTATATCTTCAATTTGCAAACTTTACAACGTTGCTCTATGCTCTTTTCACTTCATTTTCGTGCTTATATCTTCAATTTGTGAACTTTACAACGGTGCTCTCTGCTCTTTTCACTTCATTTTTGTGCTTATATCTTCAATTTGTGAACTTCACAACGGTGCTCTCTGCTCTTTTCACTTCATTCTTGTGCTTATTTCTTCAATTTGTGAACTTTACAACGTCGCTCTCTGCTCTTTTCACTTCATTTTTGTGCTTATATCTTTAATTTGTGAACTTTACAACGGTGCTCTCTGCTCTTTTCACTTCATTTTTGTGCTTATATCTTCAATTTGTGAACTTAACAACGATGCTCTCTGCTCTTTTCACTTCATTTTTGTGCTTATATCTTCAATATGTGAACTTAACAATGGTGCTCTCTGCTCTTTTCACTTCATTTTTGTGCTTATATCTTCAATTTGTGAACTTAACAACGATGCTCTCTGCTCTTTTCACTTCATTTTTGTGCTAATATCTTCAATTTGTGAACTTTACAACGGTTTTCTCTGCTCTTTTCACTTCATTTTTGTATTAATATCTTCAATATGTGAACTTTACAACGGTGCTCTCTGCTCTTTTCAATTCAGTTTTGTGCTTATATCTTCAATTTGTGAACTTTACAACGGTGCTCTCTGCTCTTTTCACTTCATTTTTGTGCTTATATCTTCAATTTGTGAACTTTACAACGGTGCTCTCTGCTCTTTTCACTTTATTTTTGTGCTTATTTCTTCAATTTGTGAACTTTACAACGGTGCTCTCTGCTCTTTTCAATTCAGTTTTGTGCTTATATCTTCAATTTGTGAACTTTACAACGGTGCTCTCTGCTCTTTTCACTTCATTTTTGTCCTTATATCTTCAATATGTGAACTTTACAACGATGCTCTCTGCTCTTTTCACTTCATTTTTGTCCTTATATCTTCAATATGTGAACTTTACAACGATGCTCTCTGCTCTTTTCACTTCATTTTTGTCCTTATATCTTCAATATGTGAACTTGACAACGATGCTCTCTGCTCTTTTCACTTCATTTTTGTGCTTATATCTTCAATTTGTGAACTTTACAACGGTGCTCTCTGCTCTTTTCACTTCATTTTTGTGCTTATTTCTTCAATTTGTGAACTTTACAACGGCGCTCTCTGCTCTTTTCACTTCGTTTGTCCTTATATCTTCAATCCGGAATGAGTTCGAATCCAAGAATGACTTTATGAATGAGATTTAAGTAGAATATAGAATATTGCAATTTGACCACAAGATGGTAAAATCAACTAAAATGTTAACATGCAATTAATCAGATAAAAATGTGATTTCATTAATCACGAAGCAAACATCTTGTTGAATTTATTTTAAGTTTAAAGGCCTTGTCACTTATTTAGCTCATTTATCGTCAGGATCTGTGTGAGTTTATTAGTGATAGTATCTACCATCTAAATTAACATCGTACTGCCCTCGTACTTCTAATGCCCACTTATAGTTTGAATAATAGCAAACTCGAAATCAAAGCAATGCCCAAACCCGTTCTTTCAAAATCTTGCATGTTTGCCATTTTGAGCACCTTTCAAGTGATTTTTGGCCCAAATTGTCGTATGGAACAAATGCTGGCTACAGGGCTGTTATTCTTCAAATTGTCAGGTTACTTTATCTGATTGCCCTGCAAGTTATTCAAGTTAATGTGACCTAACCGCCTCATACAAATGCAGGTTATTTGGTAAAAGAAACTCAATTGACATAAACTATTATCGGTTTTGACAGATACAGCCTGTAACACTTCATGTATTTACCTTAAAGCACTCACAATTTGGTAATGCAACGATTTTATTCGACGTCCAATCGACAAGTTGCGTTGTCTTCAATGATAATATTCTAGAATCTCTGAAGATAGGAATACTAAACACTTCTTGGTGTCTTAACTGTCGAAGATGACACGATACGAGTCAAAGTCGATCAGATACCGATATTAGATGTGACAAGGGTTCGTGTAATCACGGGGGAAGTTTGATTTTATGTTGATGTCATCTAGGTCTTCTTTGATGTCATCTAGGTTGTTTGATTGATGAGGTGGTTAAGGCAATACGCAACATAGCTCATTGTCATTAATTCAAACCTGCATTAGATCTGATTTTACTGATTAAAGTGCGAAACAAAAGAAATTTATCAGCTATCTGGTTTAGCTCCGTACGGAAGACTTCAACCGCATTAGGCACACACTCACTTAGAAGCTATTTATCAATATTCCCCACCTTCGACATTTACTTTAAATTGTATTGCATCGTTAGTGAATAGTCGAAAATCTTTTCGAATCAAAAGAGATTTTGGAATTACCGTTTATATCGTTTTTGATGTAGATTCTAAGTGTGCAGTTCATGCTTAAATTCCTTAAGTCTCGTTTCCTATCCAGCGAGGATATCGCAGCTTAATCCCCGATGTACATTTATATTTACGAATGCTGACAAATTACCTCTTTCACTCAATATGACTTGTTCATTATTAAAGCGTGAGGATTAAGCATTTGTGTTACTCCCTAGATCTGCTTGTTGTGAAGTAAACATAACAATTCGTGTTGCGTGTAAATATTATTATTTTCCATTTATTTAACTTCACAAGTTGGGTATTAATATAACTGTTGGGATGTAGACAATTTTTTAAATGTCCACAAGTATATCAATATATTAAGTGTCCATAAGGATATAAATATATTAAATGTCCATAAGTGTATAAATATATTAATTGTTCATAAATGATATGCAATATTATTATGATACAATTGCATGTACAGTGATTTACTTTAATTATATTATCAGAACGTTCTATTGTTAGCTACTAGTGCTATTGCAAGCAGCCTGTAAAGTTGAACTAAGATATAAACTTGTTTCACTGAGGTTAACCCTAAACTGATGTGTCAGTCAAACATTAACATAATGCACAGATACAATCGTTCGACCCACAAAGCACCTTATTTGGCATAAGGGAAAATATATGATTGCCTAAGAAGTTGATTAAAAAGTACATTGAATATGAAATACACTCTGCGTCACATTGTGCTCTGCAAGGGATCATTGATGGGACGTTAAAAAGTCAACTAAGGTGAACAATTGTGTCGACTTTAAGACCTATTTGGGCATGACGTCACTAAATTCTTACTCAGTCTGTCGCTGGTAAAAAGGTCAATATGTTTGTTTGAGTTTTCACTGAAAAATGCAATTATGCATTGGAATGTGGCATATGTATATTTGAATGTGGAATATGTATTGATATGTTGTATATTTAGTCTCGAACGCAAAACTTATTTTTGCAAATAGCTCATTTGTAGCCTACCTGGTAAACGTATGCGGGGTTAATATAACCGGTGTGCAGAATAACGATAGTCCCTGTGCAGACCCGTACCTTGCTTACATCAGCTGCAGGGGACTCATTTCTAGAGGGCTGGTACTGTATTTTGTAAGCAAAAAGCAATTTTGACCAAAACTAGGCCACAAGTTTAACAAAAAACAAGACAAACAGAGAAATATATATATCGCACTTTTAGGACCAAATGGCAGCCATGTAATTCACCAGGATGCCCAAAACGTAATCAGATTGGACTTCACAAAATGTCCGATTTGTCGACGGCGCCCGGCCGATGAGTATTTTGTTCAAAATTGCATTTATTTTTGAACAAAATACTCAATTGGCAGGACGCCATGTGTAAAAGGGTAGAAGGTCCTATCAAATGATGGTCCTACTCTTCATTAATTTATATGGTGACCTCTTTCCCTTATTATCTTATACACAATCAGGGCCAGAAAGGGCTGTTAAGAAAGGGGACCATAATACATGGGGGACCATAATTTCTTTCACACCGGTCGACGAATCGGGGTAAATGTGACCTAGGTATCAACTATTTCAGCTACTTCTAACAGACTCTTCTTCAATTCTTCAATAAAACAATACAAGTAATTTGTTAGATATCAATATCAAAATAATTGCAATATTGTTCTATTTCCTCAATAACGTATAATATACACTCAATTATGATTAACTTCAGCTGAATTGATTCCTCGCTTCATTGAATGTTTTACATGCACACACATTTGCTTTGTATTCACATGTGTTTGACTGTGGACTTCCTCGGTTCATTATAGTCCATCTTCGGCCCAAGGATATTTTTCTTTCACCAGTTTGTTGAAGGGTGGTTTTGCGCATTCGAAGATGACATTTTTATTTTCTCATGAAGAAACTCTCAAAGAGCAAACTACACCCTGACCAAAAGTGCCAGAGTATTTCCACCTCATTTTTGTAAAAAAAATCATTGCAAATATAACATTAAAATCATGTCTTGTATGTGTTTCAGGGTACGAAATAATTCGTAGAGACCAGACATCCGCTTATGACAAGAGAAACGTCAGCCATATAAAATCAGTATACGAAGATGGAACTTGGAGCAAGCCATACTTTGACTGTGGAGGGGGTAATATTTGGATGATAACATACACACTGCCTTTCTTCGGATATGATCCAGATAATGGAACGTACCATTTCAAGTAAGTGATCGATTTAATTATCCCAACGAACGAAGTTCGGTAGGGATATAGTGAAGCCCTCCGTCCGTCCGTCCGTCCGTCTGTCTGTCCGTCAGTCCGTCCGTCTGTCCGGAAGATAACTCAAATACTAGTGGACGGATTTTCTTCATATTTAGTGGAAAGATGTATATTGGTGAATAGTTTTACGCAAATTTTTTTTTCAAGATGGCCGCCGCTTTAAAAATGACGGGACTTTTTCGCAAAAATCATAAATTTTTCATTCTGAACCAAAGTAATTAATATTATTGTTTGAAATTTTGGTAGTATATTCACAACATTTATCTATTTCACAAATATTCTGTGTTTTTCATCCTGACCCCCAGGGGCCGTGTATGGGGGGACAGGAAAACAAAAATTTTCGCTAATTTTTAGATCTTTCTAAAGTATAGCTTTATTATACTCAAATGAAAGGCAATTAAGAGTAGATTGCAAATATTGTATCTTTTTTCTGATTCGAGCCTCGTAAAATTCAAAATGGCCGTCTAATGTATGATTTCGCAATAATTTTTCGATCCCTTCAAAGTATGGCTATATTATACTCAAATTGAAGGAATTTTGGAGTAGATCACAATTATGGTATTATTTTTCAGATTTGTATCTCAGAAAATTCAAAATGGCTGCTTTGCAGGAATTCGCAATTCTAAAATCTAATGTTTTCAATTTTAACCAAAGTAATGAGTATAATTGATTGGAATTCGCTAATTGATATTTTGTTCGTTGGGATTTGCTACTCCGCGGAGTTGCCGTTATCTTTTTTAATGTGAAAGTTGAAAATCGATTTCTCACAGGCTCTGGAAAAAGTTGTACGTGTATGATTTTGATGGATATATGAAAATACCCGGCTGGACCTTAACAGGGTTTAGCACATAATCTAAAAGATGGCGTTAACTAGCTTATTGAGAGAGTGTAGAAACACGTGTTTATCATACTCTGTATTACGTATATGTTTGGCCCCTCTCCTTCCACCATGCTTTTCAATTTGTATTTCAAATCAAATTGTATGATGCAGATGATCATAAAAGTGCACGAGATTCTAACAATTACGTTTTCTCGAGAAACTTTATTGTTGGCTGTACACATCATCGCATTTGTACGTGAACTTTTACAATGACAAATGTGTTTTTAGTTCTGTTACATTGCCTACGCTGTATGTAAAGCAGCATCACTTCCCGTTACAACTTCTACAGCGTAGGATCATATCCCACTTACGTAAAAATCCGTAAATCCAACTAGAAATCTACCTGTTCGATTAGTAGAGTATCCAAACTTGATGCTACCACAAAATGTAACGTTGACATAATAACTAGAATATTCAGTGGTTTACTTTTCAAAATTGCAGAAAAATCCCAAGTGCCCCCTGACCTTAAAACGCCAACTACGAAAATACGAAAAACCGTTGGCATTGACTGATCATTGGGATAAACATTGACACCAGGTTACCGACTCTGAGTGAGTCTCCAATGGTCATGGCAGCCCCCGAGGGCTTTAAAACGCTAAATAAAACATTTGACCTTGAGACGACCTTGCCCAATACGGCCGTTACGGCCGTAACCTTCGCATCAATGGCGGACGGAAATTGTCGATTTCGATATTTTTAGTTTTCATCGAATTAAACTATTTTATAGTTGACGTTATACTTTGATATTTGAACTAAACAAGGTTTAAGCTCTGGAGTATAATAATTTGTTCATACAGTGCGTGAGCGCTATAGTTGAACGATTTCTTCCATCGCTTAAGGGAACTAGTTTCCATGTCATAGAAGCCCGATTTGTCAACTATAAAGTAATTCAATTCGAAGAACATTAAAAATATCGAAATCGACAATTATCGTCCGCCATCTTTGATGCGAAGTGGAGTGACCAGTGAAGGATCACAATGTTGTACTGACAGCAAGCCAGACGGATTATATTTCACAGTTAAGACAGGAAATCGCAACGTGAGCAGAATTTCAATTAAATTCGAATCCAGTGTCCTCGAATGTTTCACCGATCAATCACATTGATGTTTATATATCGAACGCAGGTTGTGATTTAATTACATTCCGATGGCGATTTTGCGTTCTAACACGTAAAAGATATCTCATTAATATCATAAATAGCGGATAATCAGGTTCAATTACAGGATGTATGCTTTAATCTGGGTTAGTTTTTTTAGCTGAACTGGAAGCTTATCAAGGTGGCTCTTTTGGATATCATTCGTCAGACTTTGCCTCTTAAAAGAAAGCTTCGTCTACAACGTTACTTCAAAACAAACCCTTGTTATTTATACACAGTCAGGGTCAGTAAGGGCCGTGAGGAAAGGTGACCATAATCCCCAGGGGACCATAATTTCTTTTACACCGGCATAGAGCAGGTCGGGCAATTGCCTTATCAAAATCTCACATAAATATATTAATATTTTTAACTTGAACTGTGAAAATTATGTCTTATTGTAGTGAAGGTCGTGCAATTACATGTACCTCATCAGAATCTAACATAAATACATAGAGACGTATTTTCAACTAGAAATGTGAAAATAAGGTCTAGCTATCGTAAACCTCATTTGACCTAAATGCCAAGCCGATTTGCAGTATATTACATTTTAACTTGTCTATTTTTCATTCTGGTTACGCCCCGTTCAGCTGCTGTGGCTCCTTTAATCTGCACTTCGCTTTGATTTTAATGTACTATGAACTACACAAGGTTTTCTTACATAATTGGACCTCCAAAACGTTTACTTACTAAGATAATCAATAGCTTGCCGTTAGAGTGAAAACACGCATAGATCGCACTCCCCCCCCCCCCCCCCACCCCCTTCATAACCAAGAATCATAGAACCATTAGAAAGAAGAAGACTTTAAAAGCTTAAAATGCTTTTTATTTGAAGCGTCTAGCTCAATTTTGAAGGAAGTTGCATCAATTGTTGTAAACTTAAAAACACAATCTTAAAAAAATTTTTTTTTTGAACATCAGAATGGACAACATGTAAAATAATCATAATCAGTTGAGAGCTCGAGAACAGGATAAAACTTCGATTTCATTATTTAGTACAAATGTGCTAGTATGCGATATCAAAACATGAAAAGCATTGCAACATGAACAAAATCGTGATAAAAATGCGAACGAATAAAATACCATTTCAGTACCCTTTATGTATTTAGGCTAAGATTTCTACCTGATCGTAATATTCATATTTGTTTACTTTCCATCGGATCTTGAATAACATCAATAAAGCACCAAATTTCGCGAACTTATTGATAATCATAGTATATAGTTCGCTAACACACGATTCAAAAGCATCTACAACCGATGCAGTGTACGCCATCTGTGATGCAGTAGTCCTAAATTCCAACACCATGAAATAACAAAGAGTGAACTTAACTTTGTACAAAATATACAAAATTGTAGGATAGGAGGGGGCATTATCAAACGGTAGAAAATGATCCAACTGTAGTATGAAGACAATGGTATTATTTCCATTGTTATGCATTGAATTCCACATATTCACGCAGTCCTAACTTCGACCGTTAATTTGAATTTTGGACCTAACCGATGTTAGAAAATCAAGGATTACGAGTCTCATACTGTACCGTTTTTCTTCAAACTTGTTCCATTCAAAGCATAACAAAAATCCCTTTCTGATGGTACATTATTCTCTTAGACAGAGTCCCTACTTCCAGCAGCATTTTGGTCCCCAGCTGTGAGAAGACCTTCTAACAGCTGGGGACCAAAACGCTGCTAGAACGAGGGACTCTTTACAATAAATGCACCGACAGAAAGGCAATTTTGTTTTGCTTTTAATGGTATAAGTTTGAAGAAAAACGGTGCAGTTAGCCTTGCCCAAGTCGGTCTCTTTTACTTGTCTTGATTTCTATGATGACCGCCTTTTACCAAAGAGAAAGCCACGTGCTTTACCGACAGTTTGTTGATGTCGGTAAAATTTGACCAATCAACGACGGCCCTGTAGCGTTAGCTCATTATTATGCAGGGTCAAAAACAAGTACACTTTTCACCGGGACTTTTCACGAACAAATCTTGCACGAATCTAAGCACGAATTCATCATGAAAATACAAATATTTTATGAGGTAAATATCAATGAGAGTTTAGTGAATGACGGGGCATCGATCGGATAACCAAAGGTGGGAAGATTTCAACAATAAACGTTGAAACGATCGCTGAACATGTAGGCTGATATTCAATCACCGATCGACGACAACATGGCCCGCTACATTGGACTTGGTATTCGTGCATTTTCATCGCGAAATCAGTTTTAAGTCAACATTGAATCGCACGATTTGATTTGATTAATGAATCTTACCTTCGAATGTATATTTAATTACATAATGTATTGTAACTCTAATGAAACACTCGATCAGATCATTGAATTTCAAGTCGTAGACGGGAAGTTTGTTTTGTTTATGCTGTTCAACCTGGTAACGTTTTGATTGGTCATTCAGCCTGAAGTCACACGTCGTGTCCACGCGATATCTGTCAATCAATAAGGTTTCGCGATACCCCTGATAGCGTATGTATGGTGGAAATCTCGAAACCGTTGAATATTTCAGCATAATAACAGCGGAGATGTATTGGATTGTACAAGGCGGTAATAATTCAAGATCAGATAAGTAAAAAATACCGACTTGGGCAAGGCTACGGTGCAGTATGAGACTCGCAATCCTTGATTTTCAAGCATCTGGTAGGTCAAAAATTCAAATTAACGGTCGAAGTTAGTACCGCGTGATATTAAGATCAATCGCCGTGTGAATCCCACATACTTTAAAAACAGTAACCGTGCCTAGTGGATATTGTATATCACGGGGAAATCTGATCAGTGATCAATGATATCAAATCAAATAAATTCATATGGGTAGTAGTTTTCTGAGTGTATTTAAACTATTGAATCAATAGTAAATTCAATGTTTTCATTACTGTTATTTGGTATTGGAGTTCATGATATTATGGTTCGCCTACAAGAATGTTGA